AATATATTGAATACAATTAATTAATTTCCACTTCGAGTGATAAGTTTTCTAATGTTATTCTATAGACATCTCACAGAATGTCAGAATTACTTTTTGTATATCACAGGAATGTTTATCACTGAGTTTACAACTAGATCATTTATCATAATAATTTTATGTCCACTTGACTACCAATACATACGTTTTAATTATAAGCCCACCATATATTACAGTTATGTAAAACATTATTGAAATGTGTTATTATAAAATAATTTTTTATTAACAAAGTTTACTAAATTAAAATACCCGGTTGAGTTGAGTATATGATACATTATACTTGCTAATAATTGCAGTAAATTAGTATTTGTAGTAATTATAAAGAATATTCAATACTACTTAACAAATGTAAGTTATTAAATGTTAATTCTTATTACATGTAATGAAATTGAACCGGGTTTGTTTTTAATGATTACTAGCCACCTTACAAAACTCTTGATGTGGATATTTACGGAACCCTGGACAATCCCTATTGTCAACGCAATTCATGATTTTAAATTCTCGAACAATATCTCAACGAAGCTAAATTAGCATGGTGATTACTACTATCATTAACAATAAGGTAGTTTTTTTAATTTCCCAAAGTATTTATGTCAAAGTATTTCCCAAAGTCTCAAAGTATAAACTAAAAAGTTAAAATTTAGTTTAAAAATAAGTTGAACTCTATTTGGGTGTAACGTATTCTGAATATTGAACACTATTCCTAGCATTTATAAGTAAAAGATTTATATAATATATAATATAAAAATCACAATTATCACAATAATCCTGTCCTCCATGAATATACTAGATAAATTATAATTACTAGCTTTAATGTAATAATGAAATGAAGTTATTCCACCAGGTCTACCTCACGAAACCACAATACTGTGGTCACCCAACTCTGATGGCTGAATATGTGCTACAGGATGAGGAGACCCAACGGGTTGTATGCGATCCCGACGTCTCCTATGATTTCAACTCTGGCGCCAACTCTTCGGATATGATTTTATCTGAAGACCATATGATGGGTGACTGCGTGGACGACGAGTATTGGGCCGGTAGTCCTAAATGTGTGCCCAAATTATACTGTAAATTAGAGTTCAATGAAGTGTCCGAAGAGATAATGTCTGTGAAGAACGCGTATATCTTTGACACAAACAAATGGTATGCCATCGAAGGGACGTCCATTAGCTTTAGATGCAAACCTGGCTTCGAGTTCGTCACCGACTCGTTTCGGACATGTCTTTACAACTCAACGTGGGATCAAACGGCACCCGTATGTCGAGAAAATAGGAATGAGATTGGAATTGCGTTCTTGCAATATAATAGATCATTAGAACTTGTAAATAACTGGAACGATGAGTATGATACTCATTACCTTGATACTAAAATGTGGATGATAGGCAATAGAAATGATTGCGATAGTGAGCAAGTTGTTTTTGAAAATATTTATTTTATTTGAATGCTATTTAATCTCTCTCTCACATTAATTTCAACCATTCAATAGAGTATAACGAGACTAACATGGCGTGCGTTATATCCCCCGACAATATCCAACTCGCGAACCAAACCCTCGCCCTAATTGTTAGGCCCGAGAATCACACCAAACACAACATACCCGACGATAAGCCCCTGTTCTCACGGCCCGAACTATTACTGTACTTTGATTGGCATAAGAACAGCCGTTTAGCTATAAGGGCGGCATTGCCACAGGGTCAACTATTATACCCATTTGTACACGTGAGAATCTTGGTGTACAACACGATTGTTGGCATTCCCATAATCAGTCCCATTGGATACTATGACGACCCGTATGCGAGACAGACTATAAAGCAAATGCTCAACGAGGACCTAGATCAGTTTCATACGTACATCATCGAGTGGAACGATACTCATTATAAATGGAGTTTTGACTATAGATACTCGTATACTGCACCATATAATCCGCTTAATGTGAATAGCACGTTTATTGGACCCCGAGCGGAATTGATAAGCGAGGTGAAAGTTGGTATAAATAAAGGCGATAGGTTTGCCCCAAATGATTACCTGAAGTGGAAGTGTTCGGCACTTATCGTAGATTATGTTCGCCTCTATCGATGGGCGATGAAAGGGTTACCTGATGATGATTATTTATGGGATATAGTAAATGACAACACCGCCACCGCCCTCGAGATTTGTAAGACTATTATGTATGCAATCTTTGGAGATCATCGCATGTTTGATACCGTAACGGATAAACCTATTATGACTAATATTACAACAATAATACCTGGATATAATGCTATTGCAGAAAAGTCAAGTACGAACACAATTAGTGTTATGGTATTAATAGTTGTGGTAATAATCAGTTTGGTTTTGGTGTTCACATTAGTATCCGGCTTAATATTCATGTATTGCAAGCATAAGAGACTGAAACGGATTAACCGAGAGATGGTGTCCGATATTTACGACGACAACCGTATGGATGACTACGAAGAGAACTGTTGTCTTTAATTACAAGAATAAATCAAATTATGACTGCAATTAAACGTAAATATAATACAAAACTAACTGTAATTAAACGTAAAGTCAATACATTTATCGACAATAATGTGGACGCGAGGGCTGGCATTGAAATGATGGAGAAGTTCGGCGCCAACACATTCGTCACGCTATACCGCAGTACCGATGAGTACATGACTGGCCACTGGAGCACCGGTAGGCTATGTGTTATTATAGCATTAAGGAGGGTAATGGTGATTAGTATCATGCACATATTTGCCGCTATGGTTGTAGCTGATCCTGATGTACGTAATGCACTATTTGATCTGGAGCAATTTATCGGAAATCGTAGATTAGTCTACACCATGCTACTGTCAGGTTTTGTAGGTTTATTAGTAGTGTGTATGATTGCACATTATTACGAGTTAACTGGATCATTGCATAATTATCGTACGTACTATGAGTACAAATATAACCTGATTTGTTGATTACTATAAGAATCGCTTAAAGTCTTTAAAACTTGCTATGTTTTACATTAAGACGGATGAATTTATTCGTGCACTGAAGCTCATGCCACAAATGAGAACATTGCGGGAATTAAATCTTCATATTTGTGCGCGTGATGAGGATACTTTTGAGTCTATCGCTGACTATGACTGCACAGAATTTGTCAATCAATGGCCGCATCTAAAGAGATATCGATTGGGTTTTCGTTGTCAAAGTGGTCCACAATTGGAAAGATTGTATGAATCGATAGGTCGTATGCAAAGCTTACGACGACTGGAGTTAATACTGAGTAAATATTATATCTCTTATGAGGGCGACGTATTAGCCATTGAATTGTCGCCCAAATCATTGTCTCCATTGAAACGATTAACACATTTGGAGTTAGATTTACACAATTGTGTATTAAATGAGACATTCTTTGACTCAATTCACACATATTTACCACACATTCAGAGTGTGAGGCATACATACCATCAGCAATACATGTTTGATAACGTGACTGGCCATCAATATATTGACGGTATATTAAAACGTTACTAATATTCATGTAGTATGGCTAGTGTTTAATTAGGATTTTATTATTGGAAATTAGTTTCTAATAAACTAATTTGTTCGTTAAATAACTAATATTTTGAGTAAACATTTGCTAACGAGTAACTAACGGTAAAGGTATAGTTTAAAGTGAAATCAACTTATAATGATTCAATTGAATCCATACCTCTACAAAAGCATTCGTTACCAGCTAAATGTTTTGACTGCTTAATCAAAATATGAGTTAAACTCTTATTCTTGTATTTGTTGCCAATTTACGTTATTAGAAATCAATTTCCAATAATAATAATCCTAATTAAACAGTATTTTAGTAACGTTTGAATTTAATATAACATCGGTATATTGAAGGCCAGTCACGTTATCTGACACTCAATGGTATGACCGCAATATCAGACTCCGAGGATTTGCAGCAAATTAATGAAAACACCGGCTATTGAGGCGATGTTTAGAAAGTTACCGAAACTTAAATGTTTTGAATTTGACACTCAATGAGTCCACTGACGGGAATGACACTCATTTGAGTGATTCTGACGGCTATTCTACAGATTATTAAAACGTTTGAACATAAGTTTCAAACAATTAATACATTTTGAGATAATGAACAAACTTTTTGTGACAAAAGTTTTACAAACTGAACATTTTCACATACAATAGCTATACAATATCATACGCTAATATTTTCAACTATTTAATGTTATGTTTAATGTCATACTAATTATTAAATAAAAAATAATTCAATTAAATTACCAGGATATAATCAAATAAATTAATTTGCACACAAAAAAAGTTTTTCAATAAACTTCTCACTGACAGACACATCACTCGTAATGCCTATACGACCACAAAAGGCCGCAAACAGAAAAGTAACGCAAACTTAAATGCTTTCATTTAAAAGATATTTGAACTTTTTACAAACTAACCATTGGTTTGAGACAATAAGCAAACCTTTTCGTGGCATATGTTTCGCAAACTAATCATTTGTCACAATAATTAAATCATATGCTTATTATTGACACTACTTAATGCTGTATTTAGTGTAATACTATTTGTCAATTAAAATATAATTAAATTAATTTATAATTTAAATTAACATTAAATTAAATTAAATTAACATTAAATTAAATTAAATTAAATTAACAATTTTACCCAATTAATTAATTAGGTAAAAGTTTTACAACAAATAAGTTTCAATGTTATTCAATAGACACCTCACTGACAGTCAGCATACCTGTAGCTATCATATTGTCTGACAAACAAATGAATGTCAACTTCGAGACTAAAATGTTTTATGAATTAACTTATATATAACTAATATTGTATAACAATAATGTTATCTCCTATTGACTACTAATACAGACATGCGTTTCAATTACAAACCCTCCATAATGTGTAAACGTTAATGAAATGTGTTTTTATTATAATTTATAAAGTATATTTATTTTAAAATAAGTTTGTTAAATCAAAATACCCTTTTGAGTAGAGTATATAATACAGTACATTATTCTTGTAGTAAATTAGTAATTGTAGTCATTATAGAGAATATTCAATACTACTTAACATTCAAATGATTATATGTTATATAAATAGTTGTTAACAAAAGTATTACATGAAATATAATAGAACCAGGTTTGTTTTTAGTGATTAACATATTAACTCTACCCTAAAACCTCCAAAATATTGTGTAATACTATCGCTATATTTAATCACAAATTATGTGTATTTAAGGCAAAGATGTTATCGAGTGATAGGAATGTCATTCAAGAGAAGTATCCGAAGGACTCGTTCGAGAGATTCGGTGATGACTTGTGTGGACTCCTATTGTCTTATCTCACATTCACAGACTGTTTCCGATTTGAATGTCTGTCTAAACAGTGGCAGCGATTGATATTCAAATCACAAGACAGTCTAAATGCAAATGAATTCATAGATATCATAGATTGGCGTATGGATGGCGACTATGACCCCACACGCATCCATTGGGAAGCATTGGAATCGGTGGTCACAAAGTGTCCCAACATTACAGCCATTCATATTGAGATCCAGTTGGAAGAGACCAGAAGAGTGTTTGAAAGACTCGTGTATTCATACGAACACTCATTGATTGCAATTAATGTCACGTTTAACGACATCATTGATTCGGATCTAATGAGACCTATTGTGGACACAATTCTCGGCAAATATGGCTCACAATTAACCACAATATCAGTGCCATACTGGGGGTATGAAGCGTTAAGATCTCACGCAAAGTCTTTGACAAAACTCACGCAACTGTCTGATGAAAGCAACGAAGAGACGGTGTTGTCAGTGATTGTCACCGAAAACAATGAGATATTAGTCAAGAATTTGACAAAATTTCAATACGATTACATAGACTCTGATTGGCAGCGATTGACAGCATTTATTGATTACTATAAGAATCTCTTAAAGTGTTTAGACTTTAGTTTTGTTTTAGTATATTTCAATTCACCGGAAGAATGGATTCGTGTACTGAAACTCATACCACAGATGAGAGTATTGCGAGAATTAAGTCTTTTAATTGGTGGGGATAATGAGAATATTGTTGAGTCTATCGTTGACTATCACTGCAAAGAGTTTGTCAATCAATGGCCACAACTCAAGAGATATCGATTGGATATTGAGTGCAGAACTGTCGCACAAATGAGACGATTGTATGAATCGGTGGGTCGTATGAAACAATTACGACGACTCGAGCTAATACTGATGACATCGTATGTGAACGAAGTACTGGCCATTGAATTGACACCGAAATCATTGTCACCACTGAAACGGTTAACACATTTCGAGTTAGTTTTATACAGATGTGTATTGAATGAGACATACTTTGACTCAATTCACACACATTTACCACACCTTCAGAGTCTGAAGATTAACACCAAATTAGNTTACCACACCTTCAGAGTCTGAAGATTAACACCAAATTAGAGATAACACCGATTATTTAGGCGATGGCCGAGAAGTTACCGAAACTTAAATGTTTTGAATTTAACACTCAATGAGTCCACTGACGGGAATGACACTGATTTGAGTGCATCAGAAACGGAAGTTTCATTGGAGCTCCGGGTGCTGTTCGGTGCTGTAGTAGTGATAGTACTGGCCGTATATTTAGGCTTACAATAGCACCTCATATTATATTAAAATGATGTATTTGATTTAATATTATATTTAATTTATTATTTATTGTTAAATAAAAATAAGCAATTTCAATTAATATATTGAATACAATTAATTAATTTCCACTTCGAGTGATAAGTTTTCTAATGTTATTCTATAGACATCTCACAGAATGTCAGAATTACTTTTTGTATATCACAGGAATGTTTATCACTGAGTTTATAACTAGATCATTTATCATAATAATTTTATGTCCACTTGACTACCAATACATACGTTTCAATTATAAGCCCACCATATATTACAGTTATGTAAAACATTATTGAAATGTGTTATTATAAAATAATTTTTTATTAACAAAGTTTACTAAATTGAAATACCCGGTTGAGTTGAGTATATGGTACATTATACTTGCTAATAATTGCAGTAAATTAGTATTTGTAGTAATTATAAAGAATATTCAATACTACTTAACGAATGTAAATTATTATATGTTAATTCTTATTACATGTAATAAAATTGAACCAGGTTTGTTTTTAATGATTACTAGCCACCTTACAAAACTCTTGATGTGGATATTTATGGAACCCTGGACAATCCCTATTGTGAACGCAATTCATGATTTTAAATTCTCGAACAATATCTCAACGAAGCTAAATTAGCATGGTGATTACTACTATCATTAACAATAAGGTAGTTTTTTGAATTTCCCAAAGTATTTATGTCAAAGTATTTCCCAAAGTCTCAAAGTATAAACTAAAAAGTTAAAATTTAGTTTAAAAATATGTTGAACTCTATTTGGGTGTAACGTATTCTGAATATTTAACACTATTCCTAGCATTTATTACAATTAGTGTTATGGTAGTAATAGTAGTGGTGATAATCAGTTTGATGGTGGTTGTGGTATTGCCATTAGTATCAGCCTTAATATTTATGTATTGCAAGCATAAGAGATTCAAACGGATTAACCGAGAGATGGTATCCGATGTTTACGACGACAACCGTATGGATGACTACGAAGAGTGCGAATTTTGCATGTTTAAAATTATACCCATTGTAAAAAATTTTGGTTAATAGATACCTGGACAAGTAATATACCAAACAAAATCCTAACTATTCGGCTACAATTTGATAATAAATATATTTAAATAAACTGCATTATATTAAAATTATTTTGATTCAAAGTAGGGGAGTCATTTAATGTCATCCCTGTACTATACAAGAAATAAATACAATATTGATTTATTGCTTTACTTATGGCTATCATTAAATAATTTGTTATGCAAGTAGTTCCTATTAATTTTGTCATAAATTAAATGAAAAACAATTTGACTTGAATCAAAATCCTTGAGAAATAATTTTGATTGATGAATGTCAAATATGGACGTACAATTCCTATTGGCGTCCAATTCAACGAGAACTCATAAAATGTGTAAAAAGTTGTCACGACTTCAGTGGCGTATAAATGGAGACGTTTTTCGCATTAGATTTAAATTAAAACTATTGCAGTGTTTCGAGAGATTAAGTAGTGATAAGAAATTGGGTGCAAGTATTGGACCCCTGGGTGTCATGACTTTTCCATTGTTTTATAAAGTATGTCTGCATTTTGAGTTATTTTGTATTAATTATTAAATGAGAAAGGCACATCTATTCCGTTGATATTGCTATTTTATTCAGATAATATCTAAAACACGCACTCAAGCTAATGAAACTTTTCAAACTAATCTTGCTTACATCATACAAATAAATGATTTCAAGTTCAATATATGATAATAGACATAAATATATTGTATTATTCTGAGTATTTATTAATTAGTTTTTGATTATATTTCAATGTTTAATTAGTATTGAGTACTGAGTGCGTGTTTTAATGAGTATTTTAGATACTTTCGATAATCTGAATATAAGAACATTGCGTACGGAATAGATGTACCTTTCTCAAATGTGTTTTTACTTTATAGATGATTATAATGTACATCCGATATTTTATATTAGTACATAAGTTTGCGCAAAAATTTAAGATCTAAAGTGATATGAAATGAGTATCATAAATTATGATACTGATTACTATTGAGTTGTGAAAAATATTTAATATTAGTTCATCTATTGTGGTTCACCATCATATTATTATGATTTCCAATTAAAGTTATCATTATAAGTTTATGAATTTATATTAATAAATCTTGAAATACTTGTTACAGAGATACAGTATTTAATCACAGATTTATATTTTTAAATAGTTTATATGAAACAATAAAAGTTTTCAAAAAATAATTCAATTTTCTTTATAAATAATTATTTTCATCTAATTTATTATTAATTAAAATGTCTTTAAGAAATATTAATGTTAATAATAGAATTAATAATAATCCAAACTATACTGTAAATAATATATTTATTAACTATTACTTAAATTCACTAGAAAATCGTTTAAATAACAATGCAAGTATTTTGAATTATTTCATTTACTATTTAATTGCATTCAATTATATTTTCCATATAATCAAATACTGTACAAGTATGGGATATATAAATATATTTATCTCAAATTAAATAATGAATTTTTACACTTATCTAATAGTTGTATTAATGGTTGTACTAGATATAACGTTTATATTAGAATTTTACACAATCAAACAATTTTTATACTCATTTATATTTCATATATTAACTTATTTGGCATTTATGATTATGTATTTGGATGGCATAATATGCACCTTCATACTTATGCCGATTATGTATTATGGTCATTTAACTATTAATAAAACAAATCATATATTAGAAAATGTAAATGTAATTAGCGGTAAAAATCATATTAATATTACGGCTAAAGTCAATGAATATATCGATATGCACCAAAACGTATGCATTCATTTCAAATTAACAAACAAATTAACCAAGATTGTTAATTACTCACTAATTATGGTTATATTCCCGGCTACATTAATACTTTTGCATCAATTATTATTTGAAGAGTTGGCACACCTTTTAAAAATATTTTATTTCTTAACAATAACCATACTCTATATACTGCTCATTGGTTTTCAGTATTCATTTGCTTTACAATCGAAAAAATTGCATAAAATGTGTAAAAAGTTATCACGACTTGAATGGCGTATAAATGTCAGGCCTTTTCGGATGAGATTTAAACTCAAACTATTGATGTGTTTCGAGAAACTAAGCAGTGATCGGAAGTTAGGCAAGTATTGGGTCGTTGGTTGTCATCACTTTTCCAGTTTTCTTTAGGATATAAACCAGATCATTGTATTTAATGACAATTGATATTTAATGATAATTATTATACCATATTTTTAAACATTCACAGATGATTGTAACATATGTCCGATATTTGATATTAGTTCATAAATTTTCATTGAAATTTAAATGATTCTTTGGCATATACCGTAATGATTATCACACGTGTTTAGGAAAATATGTATTTGTTTTATAAATTATATATTTTAAATTCTCAAATGATAATTATGTATCAATATATACAATATTTTAAATTAGTTTATTTTGCTCATACATTTAAATAAATTACTGAATTTGTTAGGTTAATGAGTTTGTTTAAATGTTAAAATATTAGCACAATTAATATTTATTTGAATAAGGTTCATTATTTTCCTATTCTTTATTTTATAAAAATAATTAGTTTAATATTAATTTGGAATAAATATTAATTTAATATTGCACAAATTAAATATAGTATATTTAATATGTAAATATGAAAACATTAATTTGATCCAAATACTGTAAATAAAATAAATTAAAATGAAAACTACTTACAGTATTACGATATGTTCCACTTAAATGACTTTGCAAGATTAAAATGTCATTTTACATTAACATATGGTTATACACTATGTCAGGTATTTCATATTGGTTCATAAATTTGCCTTAACATTTAAAACATAATCACCATGAAAATGTATTAAAGTATTAAGAATTTGAGACTACATTTAAAAATCTTTAAAATATACTTTTTAAAAATTTAATTAATTTTATGAATTAAATTCTAAATAAATGTTAATGTAATACAGTTATGGATTTTATTATTGCATATTACGATTACAACCTTTACTAAATCCTTGGTATTTTAAGACATCTATTTGTGCTAGTAGCTTTATTAGAAATTAATCATAATATTATGTTCTTCTATCGCACGATATTTCTCAATCAATTGATTTTATGCTTGAAAACATTTTTTGTATCGAAAATTCTTTACTTCATAACTTCTCAATGCCCTAACAATTCATAAATCAATATATATTGCTTATTTAAACTAATATCATTTGAATAAGAGTAGTCAAGGCAAAATCGATTTATTGTAACTAATCATATATAATGAACCTTGACTGATTTCTCAAGTAACTTATGTTAAATATTCGCGTTTAATGTCAAAATATTATTATAGCTCAAAATATTGTATTTTACTTCAAAATATTATCAATTAAAATGGATAATAAAATTATTATGGATAGTATTGTAAACAATAGTTTTATGAATTATTATTTAAATTTACTTCAGAATAGATTAAACAATAATAATCATGCAAAATTACGACTATTTTACTACATAATTGAGTTTAATTACATTTGGCATATACTAAAATACAGCGCGTTTTTATTGGTGGACTTTAATTATGAAACCAGATTATTATTATGCGATTTATCCCTATTTTATGGTAGTGTTCGTAATTACGATATTATCTTAATGCTATTTTCACAAATCCTTGGAATCATATTTAACCGGGAGTTGCATTTAAATAAAGCAGATAAATATTTAACGTA